TTAGATCGCAGAGGCTCCTCAATGGAAGCATCGATCTGGAGAGTTCGGGCTGGGTCCTCCGTCGAGGCTGGGATGGAGATAGTCTCTTCTGTGGGCACAGCTCGCTCCTCGCTCTGCTCTGTAGGTCGCTCTAGCTCGAGGTCGTCGGCCACCTTGGCTTTCCCTTTGAGGGCGGTGACATAGCATTTGTGAGACTCAAGCTGGTCACCTCGCGCTATCCCGATTCCGAAGTCCGTGAGGAACTTCATGGCCAAGTAGTAAGTGGAGACCACAGCTCGTAGGGCATGGGTGATCGGCCGACCTACTATGGCATTGTACGGGGACGGGGTTGCGACCACTAAGAAGTCGTGGTTGAGCCTCACTATGCTAGGCCAAGTGCCGACCTCCATAGGTACTGTAATCCTTCCCAGGGGCCTGACTTCCTCTCCGCTGAAGCCTACCAGGGGAGTGTTCACGGGCTTTAGGTCACTCTCTTGGAGCTGAAGTTGGTTGAAGGTTGCTTTGAAGAGAATATCTGCTTAGCTACTTGAGTCGACGAGGACACGCCTGACTTCAAAGTCGTTGATCTTTACCTTTATGACGAGCACGTCATCATGAGGGTAGTGGACCCCGCATGCGTCATCCTCCGTGAAGAAGATCGGGTCTTCCACCCTTGGCCGCTTCGGGGGGTTCTGTTCTTCCCTGGCAGCCTTGCGAGCTGATGCTGAGCTGCGGCTGAGGTGCAGCCCGCTACAACCGAACCTTCGACAATCACGTGGATGGTCCCCCGAACTGGTCTCTTTTCAGGGGACTGCTTCTGCGATTGTTCTGCTTGCCTACTGGATTCGGGAGCATCTCTACTTTGCTCCCCCTGCCGACCTGCTTTATATTATATTATTTTGTACAAAATTTTTCAAGTATCCACAACGGATGAGCTTCTCTATCTCGTCGCGGAGGTTTTACAATTTTCAGTGCTATGACCGTGATCTTTGTGGAAACTACAATATAAATTTTTATTCCTTACACTAGGATCGGCCTTCAGCCGAGGTGGCCACTTCACGTACGGGGCGTCCTTGATCGCCATGAGGATCTCGGCCCGCTTCGCGTTGAGGGGCATGTAGTCTGCTCTTTCTATTGCTAGAGTTCGGAAGGGTTGATTCGGCCTTGCCCCCCGAATTGGATCCTTCTTTTTCTTGCTATCCCCTTGAGTCAAGGGTTCGACTTCCCTTTTCCTTTTCTCAAGGGCCTGCTCACCCTTCTGATTGATCTCTTCCTCCGTCCCTATAAACCGATCTGCGAGCTTAAGGAACTCGGTTACGGTCTTAGGTTGATTGACAACCACGTGCCACTTGAATTCTTTATGGGTAATACCTCGCTTGGCTGCGGTGAGGCGAACAGCAGGGTCTAGATCGGGTATTTGTAAGCAAGCGTCATCGAACCGCTTGATGTAACTCCGAATGGATTCCCTTCTTTCTGAACTATGCTGAGGAGGCTTTCTTGAGTTCTTGGGCACCTCTTACTGTTGACAAAGTGGGAGGTGAAGACTTGCATGAACTGCGCTCAGCTTCTTATCGATCCGGGCGCGAGATTTTGGTACCATGTGCCGGCTACCCCTTTGAAGGTGGTGGAGAAAGCCACACACATACAGGATTCATTGGCTCTTGTCAGGTGCATCTGGGACTGAAAGGCGTCCACATGATCATTTGAATTGAAGGATCCATTGTACTTATCCAGGGGAGGGAGCTTGAAGTCAATTGGCATGGGGACAACAAGAAGTTCTGGCGACAATGGGGAAGGAACTGAAAGGAGAGGAGTAGCTTTTACTTCATCTGAGCTTACTTCCTCCTTACCTCTGAGCTCGGGCAAGACGTGAGTAGAAGTTCGGCGAGCTCGTTGGCGCCTCCGTTGTTGCTTTGTTGGCTCAACATTGGTGCTACTTGCTTCAGTATTACCGAGCTCGATAGGCTCGGACTGCTAATGGTAGTTCTGAACCGAAGGGCCCAGCCTGTAATCTACAACTAGGACCTCGAACTGGTTTTCTGCGAGCGGGAGCTCAAATTGGGAGTGCCGAGGTGATGCGGGCTTGACCAGCTGGGAGAACCACGACCTGCCTGTAGGCTGCGAGGCGGGGGTGGCTGGCCTCTCCTTCTTGCCATGGAACGAGGCTTGGCTTTTGGAAGGATTTTGGGTTTGAGAGACCTCCCCCCGATGAGGACGTTCGCTCTGACGGGAGGGCTTGGCTTGTTTCGAGGCTGGATGCCGAGGGGGAAGCGGCTGCTGGGCCTAAAGCAAGTAAGGGAACTACTGCTGGTACTGGTATTGAGAGACTTGATGCAGCACTTGTTGCTGGTAGAGTTGGAACTACTGGAACTACTGCATTTGAGCTTGCATGGCTCGCATGCACTGTACTAGGTCTTCCAACTGGTTTTGGTTGGTCACTGGGGGAACAATCGAAGGTTCAATGAAGGTCGCTCCAACTGTGGAAGGCAGTGGAGTTTTCACGAGTGCCACCGTGAGAGGCACGTTCAAGCTGGGGATTCCGTCCACACACAGAGGAACAGTGAACTGTCCAATACAGACAGTGGGGAGCTGGGGTTGCTCCCTAGAAGCATTTCGGTCGGCACCACGTCCGGCGTTGCTGGAGGAGGCCATGAATGCTAAGTTTTCAAAGAGAGTTGCAGAGATTAGAGGAAGGCTTTTTGAAGCGTTCCCACAGACGGCGCCAAATGATGTTGTGCAATCCGGGCACTCCTAACTAGCAGTCGACTGGCTCCTGACTGGCGATGGACGATACCTGAGAAGAAGACGGTGAAGGATTCCCGAGGGACTTGCCCGGTGGGAATACTTCGATGCTTAAGTTAGAATGCTGGAGAAAGCAGTAAAGAGTGCGAAGAAGGCTAAGAGTGCAGGTCGCGCTAGATCACTAAGTGTTCGAGATTAGCTCGAGATTAGATCAAGATATGTTCAAGATGCCTTTCCCCTTCGACCACGGGGCTCTTAAATATGGGCGTTCTTGTCAAATCGGGCATAACTGCCATTGAACCTCTATCACAGCCGTTATTTACCAAGGCTACGCAGGTAACCATTGCAGAGTACTACCCAATCAGATGAGTGACATGTCCCAGGAGGACAGACTCCACCACCTGTTGCGAGACGTGGGTGCAGTCTGTCAGGCTAGCAGGGACTGCACTGTCATTCAAGAGACGTGGTGCAGCCTGACGAGTACGGTCTTGTTAGATAGAAATTTCTTGAAAGCGTTACGTCGCTTAATAGCGAACTGCCTTGTAGCAAGTTATCTTATTGCGAGCTACCTTGTAGCGAGCTCCTAGGGGTACTTCGAGGTGATTCCTCTTGTGGTTGCCTTTGGGGCAGTTTCTCTGCCTGAGTATCGGAGCGAGCTGGTTATCCCAGCTCGCGAGCTGGGATAGACTTGTCTTGGAGTATTCCCTTTCAGTATGTCGGGGGTCCTCGAGTTCGCGCTGTAGCAAGCTCATCCTGTGGCGAGCTGTAACGTAGCAAACTGTCCTACGAGCTCGTTACTTAATCGCAGTCAGGCCGTTGTACTGAGCTGGTACTTGTACTGAGTCATGTCCACGTGTTACCATCTCAAGGGATCGGTTCAAATTACCCTCCATCAGATATAGTACACTACATGTTGGTTATTGATGGAGGTGTAATTTGGCTATAATTAAATGGTATTATATATATATCATTTGAATCATTTTCATGATTAAGAGTAGATAGAAATAAGTTTAAATACGAAAGGATCCCTTTGAATCCACTATTAACAACTAAACATTCTACATTTTAAATGATAAATTTAGGCTCTCAAATGCAATGGATGATCACAATGGAATCATTGTGTTCCATGTTGTTTTGTACCACCTAACATATAATTGATTTCATTTCTCTCCAAAGGATAAATTCCAAAACGAATAACAATAGGGATCTTATCATCATTATATAAGAGCCAAAAATGTGGTTCAAAATTTTTAAGTAGTTGCTCTTAGATAAAATATATAGAACTTAATTACCATCATTTCCACATTGTTGTTCTAATCTTTTAAGCAGTTGTTATGGCCCATAGTCTTGTATCCGCACCAATATTACTTTGTATTTGGTTCATAATTCTACAATTCAGCATATAGTTATTTGACATTAGTTTGGTTTAATGCCTGCCATCATATATTGATCAGCACAACATAGCATAAGGACAATTACTGAGGAAAATATGTAAAATAAAAAAAGCAAAATATAAATAAGTTCTTGCTTTTCTAGTTCTTACACAAACAAAAAATGATAAAGAAGAAAACTATATAAAAGTGACCCTACCTCGTAAGCATCCAATTTACAGTGGAATAAAAGTGGTTATGAGTTTTGCACTCCCGATGCCATTAATAATTGTTGACGTTATGCTTTTTACGAGATTATTGGGGGGGTGGGTTGGTAGTGTTTCTATAATTGATTTCTAAATACCATACCGGTTTAACTCCCAAGCTGATGAAAGTGGTCGAGTAAAACAGATTGTTTGAAGCGAAGGGGTTTCGAACAAACAAAACCAAACGTTCAAAATTCAAACTTTGGAAAAAGGAAATGAGTATGTTGTTCACTGTGTTGCATTTTGTTGTTTTCAATTGGAGAAGGATTTTAAGGTGAGTGTTGATTAAAATATAGTAAAGAAATAAACAAATCCAGATAACAATAACAATGTTCTTGTAATGGCATAACAAAGACAAGATAAGAACATATCACTACCTTTGTTAAGGAGGTCACTCTCCACGTATGCCTACTTTTTGCCAAAAATACCTTATACAAAAGTATACCCATCTTAACCCTCCATTTTTTTGCCCAAAAATCCCAACCATTTATCAAAGAAACCCAGTTTATCCCTTGGAACCGTTTTACCTGATTTTCCCAAATTACCAAAATACCCCTTGAGTTACTCAAAATTACGAAAATGCCCCTGCCTCCTATATAAATTCAATCCAATCTTTTCATTCGCCCTAATCGGAGACATTCGAAGGAAGCATCGACTATTCACTCTCTTCCTCCCTTCGACCCACAGCGGTAGAGCGGTGGCCGATTTCTCCATCCACCGGCAGCTTTTCCCTCACTCTCTTTTCCTTCTCTTTCTATAGCTTTCTTCGTCCCTCCTTTTGCTTCTTCTTCTTCCTCTCCGCCATCTCCTTCGTTCCCATTCTCTGTTTTCGTCATCACTGCTGCAACCAAAGCAGCGGTGGCGAAACTAAGCAATGGCATCTGCTTCCCTTAGCGATACACCTTTCTCCCCAATTTCCTTCTCCCTTTGTTCGATTTCTGGCTGTTTTCTTCCATTCTCTCCCGCTGTTGTTGTCCCTATTCGGTTCGTTCATTGTCACCCTTCTCTGCAAAAGGATCATTAGTCATCGACGGCGTCTCTCTCTACTACCGGAATCAGTGAAGACTTTACCACCTTCAGCATTGTCTCTTACTTTTCCATCAATCTCGGGTGACTTCTGCACTCTTTTTAGCATTCAGTAGGAGACCACGACTTCCTCTGTTCTGCGAAGCATATCAAATTCTTCTAGAGTTCCTGATTGCAGCCTCTAGAAATCAACAGCCAGGACATCCCTCAGGTAATCCACACCGAACTCTCTCTCAATTCACCTTGACAGTGAGGGTTCCAGGCTGGGGATCAGACCGATGAAGTAGTTCCACTGGACTCTTCTCCCGCAGGTCTGTTGCCGAACCTGACCTGAACTCTGATAGTGCTCTAGTTAGATCTGATAGTATACTTATATTTGTCTGAAAGTCTGTTCATCTTCTCTCTGTTTCCTGATTGTTTTCTTTTAGATCCAGGACTGATAGTTGTTCAGATTTAGATTGCAGGATGTTTTGCATTGATGTTATTATAAATGTGAATCTGTCGGTAGATTTCTCCTCTCACTATTGACATTTATGCAAGGTCATTTTATAGAAATCTCTTCTTCCTTCTGCTCCAGAAATTTGTAGTTCACTTTTTAAATTTACATATTGCCTGCTTCACTATTCAGTCATCCTTTTCTCTTATTACCCCCTGACCGAACCAGTTGAGTTGCAACTCTTGGCGTTTACCAAGAGGTTTAATTGTGTCAGTCTTAATAGGACGACAGCATAGTAGAATCCCTTCTCTTTATTTGTTTTTAGTTTCATTTGTGTTATTTCTTATAAGATCTTCTCTCCCATTTTCAAAGTTGGTCTTTAGCTTAGGAAAATAATAATAATGATTTTTTCAAATTCGTGAAAAGGGGAAATGCGTATGTGCTCATCATTTGGAACATCTTTTTTCGCTGAACCTTCTTTTGTTGTTTAGTGACCTTATTTTCTTAATTAGTAACCTTTTTTAGTAGTTTTGCTTGCACTTTCTATTTTGCACTAATTACCAATGAGCCCCATGTAGGCTCCACCTATAGGACCCAAGAGAGGGATGTCTAATCCCTTTCCTCTCTCATCCAAGTCTTATTCGGACCGGTGTGCCTTGGGTTTTGGAATCACTATCGAATCAAAATATTTTTGACACCATTCTCAGAGGTCCCATTACCTCTATTTGATGGGTGGTGATTTCACTTCCAGCCCAAGTGACAAATGAATCATTTTTTTTAAGTTCACAAACTGGTGATTCTACTTGGAAGTTCTTGGACCATAGGTAGGGCCCACATGGGGCCCATTTGGCTTGCTTTGCTCTTTTGTAACATAGACATGCTTGTGTTATTTTCTGCACTTTATGATAATAATTGTTCTTTATGATGCTCGTTGCATCATTACTTGTTGTTTTACTTTCATTATGGCATGCTTGTTCTCACTCACCAATTGCACACACCATTTGCATTTGCATTAGATATTAGAATCCCATGTCCTATTAAGAGGGAAGCTAGTAGATGCTAGTACTATAAAAAAAAGGGTTTTGGCGATGTTAGTTTTGTGACGTTTTGTTAAACGTCGTTAAAAAAGTTCGCCTTTTACAACGTTAATAATAAATGTCGTCAAAAAAGAACTTTTTGCAACGGTTATACATAACTGTTGCTAAAAGTAACTTCCCGCAATGTTTGTAACGTTTGTCTCAAACGTCATCGAAAAACAAAGGTCGACGACGTTTACTTTTGATATAGAAGTATGTTTATATATTAAGTAGTTTTAATTTCTTGCAAATTATTTTTAAGTTTTATATGTATAACTAATGTTTTGAAGTAATTAATTATTTATTTTTACTAGTTTATTCATTAATATTATAAATTTATATTCAAATATTAAGTATACTCTCATTTTAATTAATATTATTTTTAATATTGAATATTTAAATATATTCATATTATAATTAGTTATAATTAAAATATTTATACATTAATTGTAGTAGTGATAGATAAATAAATAGGTGGAAAATATTTACATTTGATTGGTTGGTTTTTAAAAAAAAAAAGAAAAATAGTAGGTAAAGCAACCCCTCTCAACTCTATTCTTATATCTGCCCTGCCAAGTGCCTCAGCAGAGTTCTGGGGTATGGATCTAGCAGATTGGAAATTTCTGGGTTCAAGCCTTAAGCCCAACAGTCTTAGGATTGGGCCTGGGTGACATTAACCACGGCCTAGCTTTCCCAAGTTACACCCCTATTGAGAATGGAACACCTTCTCCACCATTAACCCAAAGGGTAGATTCTACACCAACCATACATCACACATTAGTTCACCCAGCCATACATTCAACACCATACTATTGAATATGAAAACTTTGGCTATTCATATTCAACAGCCTGGGCTGTCAATAGGGCTCTCCCTGCATGACATGTTGGTTCACACAGCAATGAATCCAACACCTACACTATTACAAGGGGTCTCTGTAAATTATATATCATGCAGGGATATCCCAGGCTGTCGAATTCAGACATTGGCTTTTAAATAGTCTACGTGAACTAATGAGTTCATGTAGGGAGAACCCCGTTGACAAATTGACAGCCCAGGCTTCTCCTTTTAATAAAAAGCTTTTTAAAGAGGTATTGGTCCTTTTCAGGGTGGATGTTAAAACCACCTCACCTAAAAAGGTCTTCACTTTTCTCCAACAAATCTCATTCTGATTCAACTCTTGATTTTCAAGGTTGCAGCAATATATAGTAGGGCTGTTCATAAGAAGGCCGAATCCGATCAAACCGACTAATTCGGACTGACCCAATCTGAGTTGGACAGGTTTTCATCAGTACGGGTCGGTTTTGGGTTGTGTAAATTTCTAAACCGATGATTTGGGTCGGTTTCGGTTTTCACACAAGAAAACCGAAATTGACCCGAACCGAACCGAACCGACTTATTTCCTAGTTCAAACATGAAGTTCTAAAGCCCATTAAGCCACCTAGTTTTTGAATGGTTGCAAGAAACTTTGGATTATTGAATAGTGATTAATGAACAACTTTTGTGATTAACTTTTCATTTAAATTTTATCATAGGAGATGGTTGAAATGATGTTCAATTTATGACTGTTTTTAAAATTAGCAAGATTTTATTACAGGGATGAACTTAGAACCAAAACCGACCCAAACCGACCCAACCTGACTCAAACCGACCAGGTCGATTTTACTTAACACTGGGTCGGTTTTAATTTCTATGTCAGGTAACCCGACCAGGTCAGGTCGGTTGGAAAAATTGCAGTAAACCGACCCAACCTGACCCGTGAACAGCCCTAATATATAGCCATGACATGAAGAAACATGATTCTCATCATCTTTCTCTGTCAATACTTTTTCAACTTCCCACCATATATTGAGAGAGATTATCCACAACTCGACAACCTTTTTAATGGAAATGACCACTAGATTGGAACGATATCAACATACATTGCATGCTTGTACAGGAGTCAGAACTCTATCACCCAGTTAGATCCTTGGAGAGCAATTTCAACCCGAACCCCAAATGGGTTTCATTTTCAACCTCCTTGGGACTAGAAAAATCATAATCTTCTAATTGAAAGAATGAGAAAGAATTCTATCTTGTTGCTGTGGGAGTTAAAAATAATTAAGCAGATCTGCATAGGAGATTCTTGAGTAAGTCAACTTAGTTTTTTATTACTATAAAACTCGTGAGCCATGGAAAACAGATCAGTTAAGAACTGAAACATCTCGACAAGCATGAGAAAAGGAAGTCAAAGCGATTCTGGTGATAGTAACAACGATGAAATGATAGGTATACCCACAAAAAAGATTATGAAGATAAGATTCTAGGAATGTAATACAAGCTTCATGTTGTTAAGAGAAGTGGTAGAACAGTGCAGCTTTGATGGTGAGGTGAGATCCAGTCCACACCATCTAGAAAATCATCACTAGCTAGCTTACCTTAATGAACCCAAATTTGAGTTCTCTTGTGAATCAGAAAGGACCACGTAGCAGCTAAGTAGTAGAAATATAGAATGAGTGAATGACCTAGCATGTCGGCAGAAATTGAACCACTACAGAACTGAACTGAACAAAAGACTCGCTCTTTCTGCTACACGTGTGGGTATTTCATCAGGTTTTAATTTGCCCCATGTGAACTACCAAGAAGGGTAGGTTGAGTACTTGAGTTGGAGCAATCTGTGAAACAACTTCTCTTTCCCATCACTTGGTTGAGGTATAACCCAAAGCCACCTGATTGAAAAAAAAAACAACTCTTTTACAACTATGCAGAAAAGTAGACAATAGCAAAGGTACTGAACACAAAGAGTTCTGGGTGCCCACATCACCTTGACCTCTTATCCTTCTCAACAATTTCATGTTTCAAACCAGAAAAGTCGACCTGATAGGACTAGGGATTCATAAAATTAAGTACACTTGTAGTCTTAATTAGAATCAAATTAATATGGCTCAAAGTTGCTAGAGGATATAACAAAGTTGCTCATATTTTAGCTAAAAAGGCCCTTTCAAATCGATCCCTAGAATTTTATGACTGTTTGGGTGTATGTCTGCATTATTATTGAGGTGGTGGCATTCTTATGAGAGAGAAAGAGAGAGAGAGGCTAAGGTTGCAGGTCAATAATCACTATGACCCACCGTCCCTGCAAAACTGTCTACGATCTCCACATGAATAAACAAATTAATTAATAAAAGCTTATGTTAAATGAAAGAATTCCAAAAATATGAAACCCAGACAAATCTGTTATGTTCTATTCATATAAACAGAAGTCCAAAGTATAAGCTAGCTTTTATATGAATAGGGTAGGAGTTTGCTAGTCCAGTCTGACCCGGGAATCTTTCATGTGACATTCTATTAGGGCTCCATGTCTTCCCCTCCCTCAGAAAGAAAAAAAAAAGAATTGAACTTTAAATCAAAGAATTGAACTCATGTAGGTCTGCTTTATTATTGTTTAATAGTTTTCTTTTCTTTTTTTTTCCTATACACTAGAAGGGTATCTTTTTTTTTTTTTTAATTTTCTGATGAAAAAAAAAACAACTGTTGGCTTCCCTTTTGAAGGATGGATGCCCAGAAGAAAGAAGAATCTAGTTTAAGAGGGTTTCTACCTTATAATTGTGGTTTACCTAACTCAGAAAGTCATGTCACAAAGGTCAAATTTCATAGTGTTTGCAACTCAAGTGCTATCTCATGAACTCTACAAAACTGAAAACCCTTACTGTGACAATTCACAGTATACGTGTCCTGTTTTCTAACAATCAGATATGGAGGAGCTATATTTTAATATGCAAAGTATACAAGCTGAATTTTATAGGTTAGACCATGGAATGGTATGTCCCCAAAACAAAGATCAAGTACAGCTTTGAAACCATTTGAAAAGTGTAAAGGTCCCTAAAACATCTTGTATATGCAAAGTTTCAATTTGCACTTTGTTTTCACAGAGATCAAGTACAGCTTTGCAACTGTCGAACGGGGTTAGTACAAATATCTCCTTTAGGCTCAGCTTATGTATCAGTAAACCAGCCACCCACTCCAGTCCAAAACAGGTTTGTTTGCTATCAACACCAACTTCTTGGCCCATTGTTCTTTCTTGAAGTTTACAGCCAAGCTATTGTTTGCAATTAGCCTGAGTTTGTTTAATTATTGTGACTTTAACATTTAGAAGAACAAGCTATTGTTTGAATTTTAAAAAATATATATTTTGTGTAGAGCCATGGATCGGAAAACAATTCTACTTTGGGTGAAAATCATCTTCATACCTCTTATGATGCTTTGCCAGCAAACCCTGTAAGCCATCTCAACTTTATTTTTATTTTCATGTATTTATAATTTTTTGCATGAAAATAATATTCTATTTTCATTGTCTTTTATAGGAAACCCAACAACTTGGATTAGGAGCATCTCACGTACGTGAAACAAGTCAAGAGAGGGAAGGAGCATCTTATGCACATCAAACAAGTCGAGAAAATGGGAGGGGGAATGTGAAGGGGAAGAAGAAAGTTCTTTTTAGATGATGTATCTTTATTTTTTTTTTTTTTGGTTTTGAACATAAAACTATCAAATATTTTGTTGTAAAAAAGATTGTGTTGGGCTTAAAGATTATTGAAAATTTAATATTTAAGTTTATTTTTAATTTTTGCATTGTGTCTGAATGTAAATTCAAATTACATGTTAATAAAAAGTGTTATGACAGGTTGATAAAAGCCTTATTGGGTAAATTGCACAAATAGGTGATGGATGGTTATTAAACCATATAAAAAACTTTCGACGACGTTTAATTAATTGTCACCAAAAGCAAAGATTCACAATTCAGATAAATGTCACCGAAAGTGGGCTTTGACGACGTTTGCTTAATGCCACCAAATATATCACTTTTGGTGATGATTGATGTATCACTTTTGGTAACGTTTATAAAGGTCGCTGGATGTATCACTTTTGGTGATGTTTATAAATGTCGTCAAATGTATATTTTTAGTGACGTTTACAAACGTTGTGAAAACTCGTTGCTTGTATCGTAAAAACATTTGATTCGTGACATTTGTCAAACGTCGTCGATTGTGGTTTGGAAGCTTTAACAAATTCGTGATATGTGTGTGTGGCTGGAAGTGATGAGCTATAAGAGATGAGCAAAGAAACCACTTAGAAATGTTTTTTGAGCAAAGAAACAAATGGAACTTTTGAATAAGGCAGGAAGTGATGAGCAAAGAAACCACTTAGAAACGGTGTATGTGTGGCTGAACTGGTAATAGGATGGCACCCAAGAGGGACAAGAGTGAGGTTCTATCCATACCAATACAGAAGAGAACACTGTTTCATATAAGGATGCAACTCAGGTTTGCCCGAGTTACCATTCTACACTGCTTTATGTCAGGCCCATTCAAATTTTGATAAAAGCCCAATCCAAGCTATATGGACCCTTGGGAGGGTTAAAGTGGCTAGGCCCTTTTGCCATTTTGTTTAGTATTAGGGTATGGTCTTAACCTTTGACATTTTTTTCATACAAAGTGGTCATCCTCAGACTTTAACCCATATTCTTATGCTTGTCAGCTGAGATTTTACCATTACACCGAGTAATGATGGCCCCTCCGATGAAGAAGCCAATTGATGGCCTAAATGATCAGTGAATTATATTCCCAATGTGTGTGCCCCACTACCCCAAAGAATTATCAAGGATTTGATCATTTAGGCTGTGTTTGCCTGTTTGGTACTTACAGGTTAACCAAAAGATAGCAATAACTAAAAAATGCAATGCACATCCATCTGAGAAATAATTTGTCTTATACTAATTCTAATCTACCCTTTGAAAAAGAATCTACATATACTGGATTTGAGACATGTAACCCACCAATCCCCTTCTTTTTTTTTTCATTCTCTTTTCTATTGTTCTACTTATTTTTCAGGTGGATCTTCTAAGCAGCTGACACTGGCTTCTCATCTGGTGTATTGACAATGTTCTTCCAGAACCAGTGGTTTTGGAACAGAAAGCTTATCTCCTCTATTGGAACTTGCTTTGTTTCTGGTAGGAGAAAGTAAATGAAGCAGCTCATGACGACAATCAAGCACACGAACAGCAAGAAAATACCATAACGGAGGTGGCAGAGTGCCGCAAGGAAACACTGTGCAACCATAGCAGTGAAGAAGAGGTTTACACAGACAACCACACTCTGCCCAGCTGACCTTATCTCCAGTGGGAAGAGCTCACTTGGGACTAGCCAGCCCAGAGGGCCCCATGACCACCCATAAGCCAAAACAAACAAGCAAATCATGATCACAAGGATGACAGCATCCACTATTGGGAGGGTTACTCCATGGCCAAACTTCAGTGCTAGAACAATAGCCACCACCAGCTGCAACAACAGATGTTCCCAACTGATTCAGATTCAGCTCTTTATGTTAAATGCAGAGAATTAGGCAATGGAAAAAAGACAATTACATTACCATGGAGGATATCATTTGGATGCCAGCTTCCATGAAGAGAAACCGCCTGCCTCGCTTATCGACTTGATACATTGAGAAGAATGTTGCAATAACAAGTGCTCCACTGGTAATCATGGATGAATACAGAGCTGTGCCTGACCCCATGCCCAGGCTCTGAAAGATCACAGGAGCATAGAAGAGTATTGAATTCATTCCAGTAAGCTGCTGGAATGCTGGGATGCCTAGAGCTCCTATTATCAGTTGAGGGCGGTACTTTCGCTGGAGAAGGTTGTAGAAGGGGTTCTTTATGGCCCTTGCTGCCTCACTTGCATCTTTGAGATCCTCAAATTCAGCATCTACATTTGGGGTACCTCTAATTTTCTCCAAATTCCTTCTTCCTTCTTCTAATCTGCCTTGTTCTACAAGGCTGTTTGGGGTCTCAGGAAGGAAAATACCTCCAATGAACATCAGAACTGCTGGAACAGTAGCTAAACCAAGAGAGAGTCTCCATCCCCATGGATGGATTTTGTCAGTGAAGTAGTTTATGACATTTGCCACAAAAATCCCTAGGCAGGTAGTTAATTGGAACAGTTGGTTAACTGCTCCGCGGATCTTCGGCGGTGCTGTCTCTGAGAGGTAAAGGGGAACAGCCTATGACATGAAACATGAAACAAGAACCAAGTCAAGCTTCTGCAAAGAACTAATGAATACTACCACTAAAAATTCAATTCTGCTGAGAGTCGGTGGTTCACCTGGTTGCCAAATCCAATGCCTACACCAAGCAAAATTCGGCCTAAGATCAGCATTGAAATGTGAACAGCAAATGCATTTAAGATTGCTCCGATGAAGAAGCTGACAGAGCCACAGAGGATGCTTGCTCTCCTTCCCTTCACTCTGGTCACCCATGAAGCCCCAAAGGTTGATACAAGACCAGCAAAGTAGAGAGAGGATGTGAACAGTGTGAGAATCTGGTTGTCATATTTGCAGTAATCAGTTTCCTTGAGATGTGCTTGCTTCCTTCTGTACACGTTTGGGAAGAATTTCTTCAAGAAGTCATCCATGGAAGTTACCCCACCTGAATCAAATCACATTCATTTTGTAAATAACACCTGATTCATTTGGGGGGAGTGGTAGTGAAGTAGAAATATACTGTTATTTGATTCATTCCTTATTGCTGTTTAGCACCAACATTCTAACTGGGAAAATTATCTTAATTCGACCCATTCTCTCTACTGAAGTTGCAGAACTGATAATAAATTCATAATACACTCATCTAAATAATCTCCACAAAAAAACAACAAATTGTGAAGAAAAAATATGATATGAACTTGACATAACAAGCGGAAATCAAACAACCCAGATCAAATAACTTGCTAGAATAAGAAGACAAAAATCAAGCATCCCACGATTTGAAATCTGCTCTTTTTGTTTATTAATTCAACCAACCTGACCATAAAATTTTCCACAGAATCAATTTGCAATTGAAAGTCAGACATACCAGAAACACCAAGATCGTATCCAAAAAGAGACCCTCCAAGCGCTGCAATGAAACAGGCATAAACAAAAGCTTTGGTGATTTTGTAGTCATAAAACTGTGCCCTCTTTGCAGCTCCTGGGTCAACAAATGCACTCCCTGCCATTGCCGATGTACTTCAAGCTTTTTGTCAGAAAGATTTGCCTCTGATTCACACACAGAACCTCTTAAAGAAGGAAGAGAATTACTTGTTTAAGTTTCAGAGAAGAAAAGACGGCAGCTACTAATGAGATAATTATAAGACCACAGTCGGTCAACCCAGAGGCTAGAAGACCCACATGACAAAGAAACAATTTTTCAATAAGAAAATATTAAACAAATGACATAAAAAACTGATAGATTGAAAGTGATGCAGAAAAACAAAGGAAATTTATAGATTTGATATGGAAACAAGATCAATATTCTGTTAATTTTCCATATAAATTTGACTGATTGCTTTGGTCCCCACCTCTGGGATGCTTCAAACAAACAATCTTGCCGAGAAAATAGCAGTTTAATTTATCTTTTAATCCTTATCAAGAATCAATGTACGTTATACTAAATAAAATCCAAATCACGCCTAAAATATCTCTCCTCCTTGGGAGGAGAGATTCTAGGTTGGTTGGAGCCAATTTTTATGGGGTTTGTTTTCTGGTAATATATCTAGATTACAGCGATCTTTTTGTTTTGGGGATAAAGAAATAAAACGCATGGTTAGTAGTGCATAGGCCGGGCACACGTTAGCTAACATTCAGGCGGAAAAAAAAATCTAGATACTGTTTGGATAAGCTTTTGTGTTGTAGAAAGCAATTAAATTGAGCCATAAAAAATGTTTCGGGCCTTGGGTAAGAAGTGCTTTTAAAAAACATTATAAGATGAAAGCCAGAAACAGCTTTAAGCCCCCATAGCAGAAGGTCTATTTAGGAGGGCTTTCAGGCAGTGGCTTCTGACTTTACAATATGGCCCCGCACTGTTTGGTGGAAAATCTTGAAGTCAAATTCACTGTCATTCAGCCAAAAAGTTCGACTTTAGTTTATGTTTGATTTGAAGGAAAATGTAGGGAAAGGAAGGGAAAGGAAGAAAAATCTTTACAGACTTTGTATAGGTTCTGTCTTTCCCTTCTTTACCTTACCTTTTTCTTCAAACCAAACATAACCTTATGGCAATGTTTTAAAAACCAATTTGGAATCGGAATCACTTTGGCATCAGTTTTTGGTTTAGCAGTTGGACCATCCCATTCGAGTGGACGATCCATTCTAAATAAATAAAAAAATAAATAATTAAAATAAAAATATGGCCAAAAAACATTGTCTAGGTCAAACGGGTCGATGGTTCAGAACTGATTGCTTAAACGATTAAAAGAATCTTGTTTTAGAGCCTATTTGGAAGTGGGAGGGCTTCTGCATTGACTGAGTGGCTTTCAGAGAAGCTATCAAAACTAGCTTGGGGGTATTCTTTTTCTGGATTTTGAGAGGGGGGAAAGTTGGTCAATGGGATTTTGATTTTCATTGATCAAAAATCCCTTCTTTTTTTAGATTTATGTGGGGAGATTAGGGAAAATTTATTTTCCAGGTAAGTGATACCCATCTCCTAGGTGGATAAATAACTTTTCCATCATAGGGGAAAATTGCCAATACTTTAATGAGACAAAAGCACCCCTTATAATAATAAATTTTTATAGCTAAAATGATCATTATCTTATTTACAAGGCAAATAAAAGAATATGGATAAATGCATTACCCATCCCAAAAAAAACTTACCGGAATAAATGCATTTATCCGAATAAATAACTTCCCAAAAAAAGGGGGCTTAACCTTTTCCGTTATCACAAACAATGGGATCCCATTTATCTATTTTGCAAAGAAGTTGAATACAGGGAATTGGGTCAATAAATGTTATCCAAGAAAATGTAAGATGTAGGGTGTGACGTGGCAATGTTTCAGTTTGACTTGCTTGCCCAAATGAATGGGCCACAAACAAATATCCAATTACTATTTGGTTGGCGCCCATTATGTCTTCTGGTTCTACTTTCAACTTGGTGGGCCCCCACTTGCCCACTTGACTTTAGTCCTCCATAGATGGGAGACGATTTATTGGACCCTGAATCCATCATCACTTTGTTAGTGTATTAAAAACAAGACGGTATATTCAATGCAGATTTTGACGTTTTATGTATTAGCCGAGACCCGTGCCATGGACGGGAAAGCCTAATACCATTTTGAAGGATGAAATTTTAAACAAATGATATACTGAGTTGAGAGAAGCATAATTAAAATTTTATATTTTATTTTTCAATAAAAATCAATCAATAAATTAATTAATTAATTATCTTTTATTTTGAAATATAAATTAGTCATAATTTTCTGAGAATTTAATAATTATCAGAAAACATATAATAATTTTTAATATAAATTAAGTAATAACTTTCCTAAATTATAATAATTTATCTTTTATTTTTAATAAAAATAATTCAACAAATTAATTATCTTTTATTTTCTAATATAAATTAAATAAAAGCTTTCTGAATATGTGGAAATTAATATTCTAGAAGTGTAATATTTTCAATAATTACTATCCTATATTACACTATTTATTTTCCAAAAAAAAAATTTCAACATAAATTAGTTAATTAATTTTCCAACAATGTAATATTTTTTTTGCAGTTTTAGTGATTTATCTTTTAGTTTCCAATAAAAATTAATCAATTAATTAGTTATCTTTTATTTTCCAATGTAACTAAATCAATAACATTCGTAATATGCAATAAGTCTCATTATAAATTAATTAATAATTAATAATTTTCAATGTAATAAATATTTTCTAAATTACACAAATTTATCTTTTACATTTCAATAAAAAATAATCAATTAATGTTTTTTTCGAAATGTATTAATTATCAAAAAATGTACTAACTTTTCATATAAATTAAGTAATAATTTTCCTAAAATATAATAATTTATCATTTATTTTCCAATGAAATTTTCTATCAAAAGTTTTCTGAATATGTCATTATTAGTTTTCCAAAAAATTTTAATCAATTTATCCATTAATTTCCAATAAAAATTAATCAACAAATTAATCATCTTGTAATTTCCAATATAAATTAATCAATAATTTTCTAAAAGTAATAATTTTCAAGAATGGTTTCCCAAAATGTAATTTTCGATTAAATTATTTAATTAATATTTTGAAAATGTAGTAGTTTTTAATAATTTTTTAGAAAAGTTAATTAGTTATATTTTATTTTCCAATAAACATTAATCAATAACTTAGTCAAAAAAATAATTTTCTAAAACTGTAAAAAATTTCAATAATTATTTTCCTAAATTACACTATTTATTTTCCAAAATGTAATTTACAATATAAATTAGTTAATTAATTTTATAAAAATGTAATAAATTTTAATAATTTTCTAAAACTAAATAATTTATATTTTATTTTTCCAATAAAAATTAATCAATAAATTAATTATCTTTTATTTTCCAAAATAAATTAATCAGTAATGTTCTAAACATGTAATAATTTATCTTTTATTTTCCAATAAAAATTAATTAATAAATTAATCAAAGATTAATTATCTTTTATTTTCCAATTTAAATTAATCAATAGTTTTCTGAATATGTAATACATAATTTTCTGAAAACGTAATAATTTTCAATAATAAATTTAATAATTTATCTTACTTTACCAATAAACATTAATCAACAAATTAGTTATCTTTTATTTCCAATATACATCAATCAATAATTTTCTAAAAATTTAATAATTTACTTTAATTTTCAAATAAAAACTAATCAAAATTATATATCTTTTATTTTCTGAAACTCGATAATTTTACATAATTATTTCGAAATTGCACTAATTTGTCTTTTATTTTCGAGTATAAATTAATTAATATTTTTTTCTGAAAACGAAATAACTTTATCTTTTGTTTTATATAGTTATTTTAATAATTATTACATTAATTATTAATTATAATTAAAAAAACCATAGCTTACAAAAACAGGGTCGAATCCAAGTCGCAATATCCAAAATCCGACTCGGATTCTGACCCATTTTCACTACAATGGCCACTCGACTCGAGGTAGCGACCACAATAGCGAAAACAGGGTATCTTTTGTTGGGATTTTTCCCACCGGAAAACAATTATCGGTCAATGGAACTATGCCGGCAAACTGTATTTTTGTAAAAATCGACACACAGCGGCCAATGGTTGTATTACTGACCCAACTACAATCTCTGTTTCCGGCAGCCAATGTTTATGTATAAACCGACGCCGACGGTTTTTGACGGCATAAAAACAGGAAGCTCGTCGGAATGACACCGACGTCCATTAAACCGACCCATTTGGTCGCCAATGGCTGGTGATTTTCAAAGGAATGGAAGTAAGATACTCCCCTGTTTCAGAAAAAAAGGGCGGTTTTAATTGCGAATAAACAGGTTTCTCACTGGAATGAGGTTTTTAAAGAACACTTGAACGGAACGATGATTTTCCCCACTAGGCCGCCAATGGTCGATGTTTTTAAAGAACACGTTACGAATAGGTTCCAAACAAGCGGCAGGTTTCAATCGTGGTAAATAAATCGGAAAACATATCTGGGAGGCGATGTAGAAGAAGTCAGTGCTTGAAAGTAGTCCTCCACCCGTCTCTGAATCTCCATGATGAACTGCATAAAGCTCTGAGTCAGACTATTTATGTCTACGATCGACAAAGAGTTTTTGAAAATACAAACTACGATCAGGAGTCATTTTTGAGACGGTTTCAAACACTGTTATCCGGTAATCAGGATTAGATGGCAACCCAATTCAACCCAAAGCACTGCCTTACAATCAATCACCCACCTTTCTCTGAATCAAAGACCTTTACTATCGTACTGTTCTGTTGAGTGCTCATTGTGTGGATGAATTCACGTATCCCACATCGGAACCATATAGTCTTAACACGTCCTTCTTTAGTAGTATTACCAGGAAAGTAAACGAGCGGTGATTAAACTTAGCGCGTTTGTGGGATCGGGTTCCCACCTTATCCTGATTCAAGGATTAATTAAGCGCTCATGAGCTCAATTAACTTTTACTTTTTGGGCAATACCTTATTATCCTGCCAATTCAGTCTTTGAAAGTTGAAACCACACTTGATTAGTAATTTGAAAATACAAAACCACTTAAAGAAACGTTGGCATGTTTACCTGGCAATTGGGTTGGGCGGGTCGGGGTCGGGTTGGGTTAAAGAAG